TCTACATATAACCTCCTCCCTGGGGGATGGACAACAGAAAAGTGGGTGAAGGGAGATGTCGGACAGTGTAAGATATGACAAAATAATAATAATTTATAAATTATCAAGTGTTCATGAGGGAGGGGCGTTGGGGAGGGAGGGGGAAAATGAGGACCTGATACCAAGGCTTAAGAGGAGAGCAAATGTTTTGAGAATGATGAGGGCAACGAATGTACAATGTGCTTGACACAATGGATGGATGGATGGATTGTGATGAGTTGTATGAGTCCCCAATAAAATGATTAAAAAAAACCCTCTCTGTCATCAAGTTGATGCAGACCCCTAACGACCCTTTAGGACATGCCCGAATTGCCTGAGACTTTAACTCTTTACAGGAGTCGAAACCCCACCTTTCGCCTGAGCGGCTGGTAGTTTTGAACTGCTGACCTTGAAGTTAATAGATCAATGCCTAACCATGATCCCACCAGACACGTAGGAGCTAATTTAATCCCCTTTGCCGCACTTTGAGCCTCCGAACTCCAGGGGGCGCTAAAAAGATACTCTGCACAGCGGCAGCCAATGGAGGCCCGCTCTTGGCGCCTACGTCTTTACGTAGACGTTGGGGAGGAGCCGTGCCGTGCGCGGTGACTGGAGGCGGCACCAGCGTCTGCCGGAGCCTTAATAGTGCGGGTCGCGAGCTTGGAGAACTTGGTGGTGCTGGCGACGACGACGGCCGCAGGGTTGGGTCCTGGTCTGGGCGCTCACCATGCCGAGCGTGGAGGAGCTTTACCGCAACTATGGCATCTTGGCTGACGCCACGGAGCAAGTGGGTCAGGTAAGTCCCCGAGCGGCCTGCAGGGCCTGGCGATTCGCGGCCTCGCCCGCGCTCCCCGCCGCCGGGCCCGGCTCCGCCTCGCTCTCCCGCGGGCCCTCGGCCGAGGTCTCGGAAGGCTGTCTGGTCGGCCTGGACCCGGGGGCGCGAGAGAGCATTGTGGTTGCCCCGGAGCGAGCGTGGCCCCGCGGGTCCCAGGCTTGGCTTCTCTGCCTCCCCCGGGACCAGCCTCCTCTCTCAGCGGCCCCGCCACTTCTGGTCCCGCTCTTTCTCCTCCGGAGCCGTGGCCTCTCGGTTTCACTTGTTTTTCTCCCTCTTCCCGATGGTGCGCAGTCCCACGGAAGGTAGAGGGCTCTCCCCAGACGTCTCAGGTCCCTTTGTCGAGGCAAAAACTCGCTGTTCGTGTGTTGGAGAGGGTGCTTAGTGGATGGAAGTTTATGACAAACCCAAAGGGGCAACGTGGATTGTCCCACGACTTCATTTATTCAGTGCCCCATCGGTGCAGGTACAACCTAGAAAGATCTGTGCTCGCCCGAAATGTACCTTCGGCGCCGGGGATAGTGATCGGGATAACGGTTTTAGTTTTTCATCGATGTGTTCGCTTGAGTGTATTTCCAGTGAGAAGTATTTGAAGAATGAAAAATTGGAACGTAGGAGAGGCTGCGTTTATCCCAGACAAGAGTTTGAGTACCGGTGTTGAATTATCTCTCAAACCTATGCTGCTGGAGATGATCTTGTCCTGGTAGTACGTTGACTGTGATGGGTTGATGGTTCGTTGAACACGATATGTTTCCTTGGGTGAAAAACCAGGCTCTTCTTGAGCTAAACCTAATCCTTGGTTAAGAAATCCCATGCTTTATCTTCTCAGTGCTTAGAACTTTGTGGAGTTTCCTGGAGTCAAATTCGTGGCACTTGGTGATTTGACAAAGGTCGTGGTAAGATACCTCCCATCCCTTTTTCTGGGCTTGTAATTTACTTAAGAGCCTTTCTGAGCTGACCTGCCCCTCCCCCCTACCCGCCTTTATAGAAAACTCTTTTTGGTTTAATCCCTAATTGCCAATAGTGCCCGTTTCAAGCATCGGATGTTTTTTCTTCTCTACTGAGTACAGTAACCTGGAGGCATTGCTTCCAGGACAACCCTTGCCTACTCCAATGGGGACTTGTTTTGTAGCATGGAATGGTTTGCACGTTAAAATCTTGTATAGATCACACGCGACACCAAATCCAGTGTGCAAGGGATGTCAGTAGCACTTTGTGTCCCCCTTGTAGCCTCTGAAGATTGCTCTTTTGACCATTTAGTTGTGTTTTTTTTTTTTGCAAACCTCCCCCTCCCCCAAGTATTTTTGAGCCACCTTTGATGAATTCTTGGATGACAGCTTTTGGTAGCTGTATATGCCATGTGTTAGGCAGGGCTTTGTACTAGTTCGTTTTGGTTCGACCCCCCACTGGTGAGAATTTCTATTTCTACCCTGGATATGCTGGAAGCAGAATCTACAATTAATTAAGCTTACAGATTCCAGGTAACAGATGACATCATAATCACTTGGGAAGCTTTTCAAAATGTAGGTTCTAGTTAAGTGTATCTGGTATGGAAGTGTACGTTCTCAGCAGGGGATCAAATCTGAATGAACCTGTTTGAGGCCCTGATGCTAACTAACATCAACTGTGAAGGAGAAATTCCCTACCCCTTAATGAAAGATGGGGAAACTATGGGCAGTCAGAGTTTGCTTTTGTTTTGTTCCTCGGAAGAATGAGTAGTTCTTCACAGGCATTATTTTATAATTTGCAATTAAGGATGATTGTAGCTAGCAGTCCTACCTACATGTGATTTTGTTGCACATCAGCAGAGTGGGTTGGGTAAGGAGCTAGGCCAGTGGTTGTCAATCGACTTTTGATGGTGTATTCCTGTGGTTATAAAGAACTGGCATACATTGAATGTGAGGAGTTGGTAGTAAGTAGTTAGATGTTTATGTCTTTTCTTGGGGGAAAAAACCCCAGAATCTCTTGAGGTAAACATAATTGAGAAATCCTATGCTGTACCTTTTGTGATTAAAAGAAATATCATACCCAAGGATGTATTTCAGGACACTTCTAGAGAAACTTTTCCCCCCTGTGGCCTCTGCAGCTGCTGCTGTTTCTTTCTTTCTTTATTTTTTAAGGAGAAAAATGTAATAATAGGCCCAACAAAACATGCCACTATGGAAGCATTTAAAAACTACACATCGTGCTGTCCCGTACACACACACAGCCATTCTGCTGGACTAGGAAAAAGAAGGTTGACCGCTACCTACTTACGGGTGTTAGGGCAACTAGAAGCCAAACTAGAATTTATGTCAGTCTTGGAAACCCACAGGGGCAGTTCAACCCTGTCTTATGGGGTTGCTTTGAGTCAGCATGGACTTGATGGCATTAAGTTTGTTTATTTTGGTGAATAATTGGGAGTTCCTTGTGTTGCCTTTTGTTATCTTAAATTGTTAAAACCCATATTAAAGAATTTAGCATGATTCTGAGTAGAATGCGGGCAATCCGTGCCTCCATGACACTAATTGAAGCTGCCAAGGACTTTTTAAGACAGATTGCTCCACTGATCATAATTTTAGTGAGTTGTTCAGGCACTGAATTCTTAGAGAACTGAAGCTGGACTGAGTAAACTAGAATACCTCTACATTCTGCTCTGTTATGTAATACTTGCTTTTAGAGAAAATAACGTAAAGTGCACCCCCCAAAATAGTGTTTTTTGAAACATCCTTTTCTATAATTGTCTTTCTTTTTTAGAGACTACGTTCTAGACTCAAACATGGGGTTTACTTCATCAACTATACATATTTGTTGTATTTTGACTATCAATTTTTTGCTCTTAAAAGATATCTATTGAATATGGATCAAATTGTAGCTGACCTTTCACATCTTATCCTCGAGAGAATGGCAGTTATCAAAAAGGGGGCCACGGGTGGTAAACAACATTAGGGGTCAGTGAGGCTGTAAAGATCTGAAACCCCATTGTTAGTGGGGGATGTAAAGTGGTCCAGCCATTGTGGAAAACAGTTTGGGAGTTCCTAAAAAATTTAATAGTAGGACTACCGTATGTCCCAGTTGTTCCTGCACTTGGGTGTATGCCCAAGAGATTTGAAAACAGCCACGTGAGCAGACATGTACACCAATATTTGCTGCAAAGCTTTTCCCAGTAGCCAAAAGATGAAACATCCAAAATGTCCCAGAACTGGTGACTGCACAAATAATATGATCCACACACTGTGGTATATTACTCAGCCAAAAAGAAAAACACTGACACATGTCACAGATGGATAGACTGTCAAAACATTTTGCTGAGTAAAATTAGCTACACAGGGACCTATACTGTATACTCGTTTTTATGTGAAATAAGCACATCTAGAGGAGCCCTGTGCATAGTGGGTTACATATTGGGCTGCTAACCTTGAGGTCAGCAGTGCAAAACCACCAGCTGCTGAGAAAGAGAAAAATGAGGCTCTCAACTCCCATAAACAGTTCTGCCGTGTCCTGTATGATAGCTATAGGTTGAAATGGACTCGATGCCAGTGAGTGTAGAGTACTGAAAACCAAAAATTATTAATGGTCCCCAGGAGTTGGAGGGAAAAAGGAAGAGGAGAGTTTTTGCTTAGTGGGAAGTGAGATTGTGTTGGATACTTGCCAAATAATTAAATATAGAAATTGCTGGATTTGTGTGTTTTATTGGGTATATTTTCACCACATTAAAAAAAAAAATGTAGCTGTCTTTACATGAAAGTCTCTTAGGGATTTCTTTAGAGCAGGGGTCCTCAAACTTTTTAAACAGGGGGCCAGTGCACTGTCCCTCAGACCCATTGGAGGGCTGGACTATAGTTTAAGAAAAAACTATGAACAGATTCCTATGCACACTGTACATATCTTATTTTGAAGTAAAAAACAAAACGGGGCAAAAATACCCGGCGGCCTGGATAAATATCCTCGGTGGGCCGCAGTTTGAGGACCCCTGATTTAGAGAGCAGCTTTTTAAATCAGATATCAAAAACAAACTATTAGAAACACCTTAAAAATATCTATAATAAAGCTTCTTGCCAGGATCAGAAACATTTGTCTACCATGTACAGTTGTGTTTGGAAAAGGAAAAATCAGCAGTACACTTTAGTGTTTGGAATGTTTACTGTCCCACCTGTCATTGAATCTGTCAATGACAGTCCCACCTGTCATTGAATCGTTGCGATCACTAAAAAGACCACTGCTTTTCCAAGATCCAGTTTGTAAAATGTCTTGTTGCCTCAGCTGTGGTTAGAAGACAAATTAGCAAAGCATTTTATGATTGTGGTTAATGTTTAATGAGCCATTGTCCTGAGAAGTGCTAAGAAATACTCTTTCGTCCAAAGACCAGGCAAGGACAGGTATCATTCTATTTCATATATTTAATAAAACTCAGGCTTACTTATAGTGGAAAGTAAAAACTTGGATTTTTAGCCTGAATATGTTGTAGTGTCGTTGCTTCGGATGCCTGTGTGGAATCTGTATTTAGGACTTAAATTACACCTTTCTTCAGGCCTACTTCTGGCAAATATTTTTCCTCTTCTCTTCTTTAAATTTGGATTTATTTATAATACAGAAGGTGCCCAGCTGACGTAGTGGGCGTAGTTGGCCTGCTGACCTCAAACTCAACAAGTCAAACCCTGGAGCAGCCTTATGAAGCAGGTCTTCAGAGTTGACTAGATGGCAGTAGCTTTGGTTTAAAGGGTTCCTCTTACTGAGTGATAATTGGTACAGATCTTTTCTTTGAACCCACCCGAACTGTGCTCTAGTCCTGAACCTGCTCTTTAACTGAGTGGCCCTAGACAAACTCCTTGACTTCTCTGAGCTTTAGCTTTCTCATCTGAGAAATAAATGTGCTAATACTGATGTGCAGGATAGTTGTGAAGTCTCTGGTAGACTTTCAATAAATGTTGCTAATTATTCCTTTATATTTAGTTTCCAAGCAGATTCTTTATTTACTTTTAGGCAATGTGAGCAATTTCTTCAAAAAGCTTTATAAGTAGAGCTTTGTATTTGACTTGAAGGATGTTGAATTTGTACTATCCTGTAAAAAGTAAAAGTCAAAGGCTGCTAAAATCCAGAGCTTTGGTTTTAGGTAGGCTGTCCAGAAACAGTGAGGCAAAAACCAGGCATGTAAAATGGTAGAGATAACAACCATGATGTTTTTTCACTTTTGCCACCATAAAGTATATCTTTTTGAAATAATGGCCCCTGCAGTCTGATTTTGTGTCTGTATTTGTGTCTGAGGGGACAGTGCACTGGCCCCCTGTTTAAAAAGTTTGAGGACCCCTGCTCTAAAGAAATCCCTAGGAGACTTTCATGTAAAGAAGCTACCCTTATTTACAGAAATGTCTTAATGTTTGGTGTATCATAAGGTTGTCATTTAATCTGCTGACAGACAAAAGGCCAGTAATCACTAGAATGAACCATACTGGCACATTAACAAACGTGTTCATGTCAGCTTAGTCATCCTCCCCTTCCAGGCTCACTGTTTGGAGAGGGATTAGAGGGTGGGAGAAGGTGTGGTAAGATGTACAGTGTTAAGTAATAAAATTCTTTAAGTTAAGACAAGTATTTAAGCCTCTGTAAATATCTTAATACTTTAATATCGATTCAAGCAAGATATCCACCAAAGCTGGGGTGACGTTCTTCCGCTTCCTTTCTTTTAGCATAAAGATTCCTATCAAGTCATACTGGATGGTGTGAAAGGTGGCACCAAGGAAAAGAGATTAGCTGCTCAGTTTATTCCAAAATTCTTTAAGCATTTTCCAGAATTGGCTGATTCTGCTATCAATGCTCAGTTAGACCTCTGTGAGGATGAAGACGTGTCGGTAAGTTTATGATTGAAGCTTGTCAGCAAGCTTTTAGATGTTTCTCTTAAAATTCCCAACATCTTTTCCATCTAGCGAATGTAGAGTGCTGATAACAGCACTGAGTAAAATACCACTGTACGGGCTGGCAAAACAGCAGATCCAGCCTCGTAATGTACATTTGAGAAAATGGATAAGCTCTTGCCCCTTTTCAACAGAGAAAACACATAATTTTGTTTGTTATTCACTGTTTAAAAGAGGTTGTGACTCACAATTCTAGACTCATACACTTTGTACATTGACATTAGACCTAACAGTTTTTAGTCAGTTTTTGCTTGCTTGGATATTTAATTAATGTTGCAGCATAAAATATAACTACTACACCTAAATATTTTACATGAAAGTAAAAATAGTCATCTATGTATTGATTGTTATTGCTAAAATGAGAAATCATTTTCTTAGACTATTTTCATTGTAACAGAATTAACTCTTAGCTTATCTGTTAATATGAGTTTCTTTAAGTATTTTCAACTATTATTAGCTGCTTGTTTTTTGAAGAGAAAATCATGAGTCACCAACATGTTAACAAAATTTGTTGGAATATAAACCCTTTATGTAAAACTAAATAAACCAAGATTAGTATTGGGGATTGTTGCATACAAAATACTCAGAAATGTTATATTAACTAGTTAATATGAAAAATTAGAAAATTAAAAATAAACAGTCTAGGCCTTGATAGCCATTTGTAGGAGTTATATGTGATATGCCCAAAGGCAGTAAATCTCAGCAATTGTCTTTGCCATTGTTTATAATCTTTACTAACACTTTACTGCACTCCTGTATTATATTTAGCTTCCCCTTCCAACACATCTTATTTAAGTTATTCTGTGAAACGTGAACATTAAGTTAGGACAAATTATGTTAGAAATTTCATGTTTTTGCGGTTCAAAATCAGGTAAGCCCTTAGGTGTGGTTTATAGTTTTTGTTTTCTTGGAAAGTTACGTTTCTAAAGTTGTATTTTAAAATGAAGTAAGATTTGTTTAATTTTTGCTTGAAATCATGCCCAGATACGACGTCAGGCAATTAAAGAGCTGCCTCAGTTTGCCACTGGAGAAAACCTTCCCCGCGTGGCAGACATACTAACTCAGCTTTTGCAAACAGGTAAGGGTTATTATTATTACAGTATACTTTTATTAAAATGTGCTTTCGCTCTCTTGCGTGGTCTCTCTTTTCTCTCTCTCTCTCTGAAATATTAACTCCGTAGTTTAAGTTTGTTTTGTTTAGGGCTAGCGAGGAGCCTAATAGAGACAAAATAATCATTGTGTTCCATAGTTGGAAGTCTGAACTGACATCTTGGTGGTGTAATTCCCAATATTGTATTCTTAAGGGTTTTAATTCTATGCATAAAGGTTTTATGGTTTCCTCCCTCCCCCAATTGCCCGTCATTCTTAATCATGCCCTCTTAAAATAGAGGGTGCCCTGATGTACTGTATCAGGCTCTCTACCCTTACAAGGAAGCTGTCTTTTCTTGGTGCTTTTCAGAATTGCTTGGTTTATATCTCTTTGCAATATAACCTTTAAGAAACTGCTGAGTCTTTGAAAATGAGGCAGATAATAACTCTTTTATTAAATCATTTTATTGCGGGCTCATACAGCTCGTATCACAATCCATACGTACATCCATGTGTCAAGCGCATTTGTATATATGTTGCCAGCATCATTTTCAGAACATTCTTTCTATTTGAGTCCTTAGTATCAGCTTCTCATTTTCCCCCTCCATCCCAATCCTCCCTCCCTCATGAACCCTTGATAATTTATAAATTTTTTCATGTTTTGCACTGACTGATGTCTCCTTTCACCCACTTTTCTGTTGTCTTATCTCCCAGGGAAGGGGTATATGTAGATCATTGTGATTGGTTCCCCTTTCTCCCCCCACCTTGACCTTACCCTCCTGGTATCTCTACTCTCAATATTGGTCCTGAGGGGTTTATCTGTCCTGGATTCCCTGTGTTTCCAGCTCTTATCTGTACCAGTGTACATCCTCTGGTCTAGCCATATTTGTAAGGTAGAATTGGAATCATGATAGTGGTGGGGAGGAAGCATTAAAGAAGTAGAGGAAAATTGTATGTTTATTCAGTGCTATGCTGCACCCTGACTGACTTGTTTTCTAATTTATTTTATACATGTGGCATTTTTTTCCTTCTCCAGATGACTCAGCGGAATTTAACTTGGTTAACAATGCCCTGTTAAGTATATTTAAGATGGATGCAAAAGGTAAGACCAAGTCTTATTCTTGTGTTTGGTATCTTAAGGAAATAGGAGTTTAGCATTATTAATTAAGGATAAAAATCATGGTAAAAACTAGATTTTTGATGGTTGTTTTTTTTTTTCAGAGTTAAGGCTGGGGTTCAACCAGAGATCTACTTCATATAAATTCTAGAGGTTGTGAAAAAAATCTGCTTAGCTCCCCAGATATGACTTGAAAAAACAGCAAAAGTAATTGCAAGAACAGATTATGCTGAGAAAACTCTAGGAAAATTATCTTTTCTGTCTTAAATTCTTCCAAAATACCCACTTTTAATTTATCAATAATGGTTAAAAAAGGGAAAGATGTGCTCACTCCCATGGCCACAGCATGCAATCACTCTTATTATGATTGGGGCTGAGTATGTTTCAAATTTGTTTTTACTAGTCTTGGTGGTATTCACGTTTATCACCTCATTTGAGGAGAAGTGCTGTTAATTGAGTTAAATTTAAATACTTCGTTGCACTCCGATCAGATCATTGAGTTACTCAGCATATTGGCTTGCAACACTTAATGCTTTTGTGTGCAGGGACGTTAGGAGGATTGTTCAGCCAAATACTTCAAGGAGAAGACATTGTTAGAGAACGAGCGATCAAATTCCTATCTACAAAACTTAAAACTTTGCCAGAAGAAGTATTAACAAAAGAAGTGGAGGAGCTTATACTAACTGAATCCAAAAAGGTAAGCTTCAGTCACCATTTAGAGTTTCTCTAAAGCCAAAAGATGTATTTGAAACCTGCCTTATATGTCAATGCATTATGTATGTGCCTTATGTGTAAAATTCTAATATCCTCATAGAACCAATGTTGAGCTCACGCATTTCTTAAACTTAACACTGAAGCCACTTGCAATGCAGACTCAATGTGTCAATTTAAAAGACTATAATCACATTTAAATCCTTTGCAGTGTCTATTATTCTGGGTTCTATAGAGAATCAAAACCAAGACACTTAGAAATGTAGAGAAGTTTATATTGACAAAGGAATTCATAACAGGAAATCAGCCCACTTAGCTGCAGAGAAAGAGAGCCCAGTCCAACTCACTTTCCTGGGTGAGATAATATTGTTCTGATGGTCCTTCCATCTCACAAATACTGGACCCACGAGCCAAAGAAGCAGAGGTGGAAGGGTGAGGTGTGATGAAGCACAGCAGGGCCTGGTGTGCAGAGTGATGATGTGAAGTGGCCAGAAGGGAAGAAAAGGGGACGACCTGCCCTCCAACAGGGTCTAATATCTGGACCACGTCCCCAAGGAGACACCCCAGGTTGTGTCCTGATGGGTAGGCTAGACTCCACTCATCGCTTCTTAGAAATGCCATATTGGCACAAAAGTCAACCAATTAGACATGGTCTTTACCTTAAAATGTACACTTTTTTCAGAACTCTCTACAATCATACCCTTCAGGAAACTCCTTCTATCTTAGGTTATTCTTCCATGGTATTCTGCATTATTTCATAACATAATGTATTATTGCATGGAAATAGGTCATTTTTTATTCTCCCCCACTATCCTACCTACGTTTTCTTTCTATTCGAGCCCTTGGTATCAGCTCATTTTTTTTACTCTTTCTCTCCCCCACTATCCTACAAGCCCATGCTTCTCTCTGCTGTAGCATAATTACAGATGCTTAAGGCTCATATGATGTGCTGTAACTAACCTTCCTCTTAAAGGCTCATGGTTTAGAAAGGTTAAATGTTGTCTATTAGTCCCATTTGCTTCCTAATAAGATTTCTTCGCTCTGAGCAAAAGGAGCAACTGTGGAGCTGAAAGTATCGGCATATTCACCTGTGCTGGTAATCCGGTCAAGTATGTCCTACTGTGAGCTGGTTTGGACCATGAGCAGGAAGGTGTAGAGCCTCAGCTTTAAAAGACTTTAAAGTGGTCTTGGCAGCACATATACTCACGTGGTCTTCTGTTTGTCTTCAATTACCTTGTTCATGTGAATGAAGCTGCTTTAAGTATAACCCACTGCCATCAAGTGGATTCTACCTCAGCTACTGTACAGGACAGAATAGAGCTGCTCCTTAGTGTTTCCAAGACGACATTTGTTTTTAATAAATCATTTTATTGGGGCTCTTACAGCTCTTAGAACAATCAATACATCCATTGTGTCAAGCATATGTTGCCATCATTCTTTTCAAAACATTTTCTTTCTATTCGAGCGCTTGGTATCAGCTCATTTTTTTACCCTCTCCCACCCTCATGAACCCTTGATAAATTATAAATTATTATTATTTTCATATCTTACACTGTCCCCTACCAAGGCTACATTTTTTACAAAAGCAAGGCAGTCTCATCTTTTTCCCTCAACTGGTGGGATTGAACCACTGACCTTGTGGTTAGCAGCCCAATGCTTATCCCTCTGCACCACCAGGGTTCCTTGCTTTTAGATAGAGGTAACTGAATCTGATTTAACAGTTTCTCAACCTTTTTTTTTTTTTGTTATCAACTGCCTGAAGAGCTTTTTTAGACATCCTTATACATTGTATGCCTAGCTATGCTTTATACATAAAAAGAGCTCCCACGAAGCAGTTTTCTAGGTTGGGGGTAATATATTCCCCCAGTTGAGAAGACATGGTTAGTATTCTGAAACTGAATTGGAGCTAGAAATTGCCCCTTTCATCTGTATGTTACAAGCGGTGGGGTCAAACTGACTAAAGTCGCTGAAGTACAATTGCTCTGGTTTCTGTATTGATAGTGTTTTCCCACGTGGGCATTAAAGACCCATCTGTTCTGGATTGTTTCTTTGCAGGTCCTAGAAGATGTGACAGGTGAAGAATTTGTCCTGTTCATGAAGATACTATCAGGGTTAAAAAGCTTGCAGACAGTGAGTGGAAGGCAGCAACTTGTAGAGCTGGTGGCCGAGCAAGCTGACCTGGAACAGACCTTCAACCCCTCGGATCCTGACTGCGTCGACAGGCTCTTGCAGTGCACTCGGCAGGCGGTGCCCCTGTTCTCTGTAAGCTGTTTTGTTTTGATCACTCTGTTATCTTAACACTGTGATGTTAAGGCTGCCCACTTTAAACTGTGAGCGCATGCTTATTTGTGAGTGTTTTCTTTTGAGGGGATTTGAGAGCCGAAGACATCAAAAGAAATTCTTTAGACGCTTCCCTACAGACTTTTTAAAAGATAGAGATTGTGTGATTATTTTATATCACTTGTCATCGAAAACATGATTTAGTCACTTCCATTTTTCCCCTTAACTGATTGGTAGAGTTGTTGCTGTGTGAAAGTCAGCACTTCACCTTTTGGATTCTGTGTCCTTGGCAGTGAGTCTGCTTGTGAAATAACACGTCAGAGGATTGTCCTTGGAATGGAGAAATGTGCACTCTGAATGTGTCACTTTACAACCCCTTCTCCCCCCAAGTTTTTCTCAGAATTGAAGAATTCAAATATGTTTAGTGGAGTGTAACTGTAATTTGAGAGAATTTTTTTAACAACTCAATATTATTTGAATTTTCAGAAAAATGTTCATTCTACAAGGTTTGTGACTTACTTCTGTGAGCATGTTCTTCCTAACCTCAGTTCCTTGACTACCCCAGTGGAGGGTCTCGATACACAGTTGGAGGTAAGAGAAAAGTTACTATCTTGGCAATGAGAAAGCATTCTTATATTTTAACACAAATTTATACCACTAATAACTTTAAGTCTAATTTCTAAGAGGTTCATTTAATTGTCTGCTCATGACTAGCCAGCAATCTATTAGCCAGGGACTATTTGCATAGAAATGCTTTATGGAATCAATTAAAGTTTACTACAGTGGGAAAATTCTGCCTTTTTTCACTGTAAGCTGTGGCTACTTTTGTATGCTAAATATTTTTAAGTACAATAAATTGTTTCTATCTCTGTGCATAACCAGGGGTGCCAGATTTATACTGAATTAACCTAGATTATCTTTTCATCTGTCTCCCGATAGAACTCATTACTCTCTGTTCTTCATGCCTTCACTGTAATGTTCACATACTTTTAAAACATTTATAATACTTTGCATCTATTTGAAATACTCTCAGCTCACTGATTTCTCTCTGAATCCTTAAATCTAGTGCAGCTCTTTAATCCAAGAGGCCTTTATTTGTTGTTGTTTTGAGAGAGAGCATGTGTGAGGGGGGTGGGGTGAGAAGAGAGATTGATTGATTTGGATAAATGTTTACCGAACATACTGGTTTTCCTGAAAGGCTCTTGATTGTTGAATATGGTCATGCATGTGCCATTTCCCACCTGTCTTTGGGATAGAGGAGAATCTAGTTGTGTACGAATACTGTCGATTGTTCCAGATGACCTGGGCCAGGCTCATCAGCTTTAAGAAAAGAGGCAATTAACTAGTACCTTGAATTAGAATCCAGAGATTAATTTAATCACAAATGAGGCCCAGTCTAGTTGAATTCTTTGCTATCAAGAGTATATTCTAAGTCAGCAGTTTTCAACCTGTGGGTTGCAACCCTTTTGAGGGTTGAATGACCCTTTCACAGGGTTCACCCGATTTATAACAGTAGCATAATTGCAGCGATGAAGTAGCAACGAAAATAGTTTTATGGTTAGGGGGTCACTGCAATGAGGAACCTAAAAGGGTCACAGCATTAGGAAGGTTGAGAACCAGTGCTTGTGTTTCTTGCTTCTCTGAATTGTTAAAATGCTTTGATCTTTTTAGCATTTGTGTTCAATAATGTTAACTGTTAGCTGAAATATCATGTATTTTGTCCTTACTCTTGTCCTTACTGCTTTTTACAGATACATTAGGAATCATAAGAAATGGGCTTTAGGGTCTGCCCTGCCACCAGCACACACTGATTTTACCCCAGTCACATAATCTCCCTGATCTTCACTATCCTCAACTATAACATGTTAGGCAGGCTTGCATCTCTGAATGTTTTTCCAGTTCAAACATGATTCTATGATTCTATAAAGCATAATTGAAAATTCCGTATATACTCGTGTATAAGCCGTATTTTTCAGCACATTTTTTATGCAGTTTTTGTGCTAAAATTAGGTACCTCAGCTGATATTCGGGTTGGCTTATACTCAAGTATATACGGTAAGCAATCGTAAACAGTTATCTAGAATCATTTTACTTTTACAGCCCTGTTCATTCAAAAATAGTATAAACAATGAATTGTGTGTTTTAGGTATTGAAACTGTTGGCAGAAATGAGTTCATTTTGTGGTGACATGGAAAAGCTAGAAACAAACTTAAGGAAGTTATTCGATAAATTATTGGTAAGATCTTTTCTTTCTTATGGCATAGTCTGTCTAATAAAATAAGATTACTTTTGAGATTATAGAGAGCCAGCCTTTGAAATTTGGATTAAACAGTTATTTTTAGCTGCTTAGGCTATATGCTGACTACTTGAGTGGTATCAGATTTCATAGCAGTTGTTTTGCCTTGCTTTTATTCTCTAGGCTAAATAAATTGTAGACACCGCTGGCACTGAGTTGACTTATACTCAGAGTTAAGCTTTTTGCTGGTGCTTTACACACAGTGTAATGCAGAATTGGTAGTAAGCTTTTGTTATAAACTTACCAAAATATTATTATCTTCATAAAATAAATCAGCTCTCATTCTTGATCATGCTTGTCTCAAAATGAATTAGCATGGTGAAAGGTGTTTAACTTTGCTTTCAAACTACCAACCAGATAGCTTTCCAATGCCAAATAGCTTTAGCAGTCGCTCAATAAACTTTGTTGTCTCAGTCATAAATGATGGGGAAAGATAATACTTGAAAAAATGTTTATCATGAATGATGTTCTAATTTGATGTAAACAATTGCTAGAAGTGGGCAAGATGGAGCATGTTGCATTTAGCCTGAACTGCTTCATCCATATCCATGTTCCTTTCAGACTTGTAGCACCTACTGGTCATTATCACATTGATACTACATACCTTTTGAATGCGGATGGAGTCAATATTAAAACAGTATGAACCAATACTCCAAAATGATTCTTTTGTAGTTAGTCTTGTGGTTAAAATAATCAACTTCATATAAAAGTCAAATTGAGTGTTGACCCTGTGACTTAATAACTTTGTCACCTTTGCGATGTCCCCCAAGTCCTGACCCTCAATTCCCTCATCCACTTAAATGTATAATTAGCTACTTTCATTGTCATTAGTGGTACTAGCTGCTGTAATGTGGGTATACATGGAGTTGTCAGACCAAGTATTGATCCAATACAACAAAAAAGCTAACTTAAACTTCTGATATTGTTTAATAATGTCTTAAAAGCAACTCAACGATTACTGTGTATGTTTACCATTAGGAATATTTGCAGACAATCATAAGGATGGCTCTGGATTAGGCAGTGTGTTGTTTTGTTAATAGGGTTGCTTCGCTTGGGGATTAACTCAAATGGCACCCAAGGACAATGGCATAGGAAATTAAAAATGTCTCAATTTTTTCTTATCAAAGGAGTACATGCCTCTCCCCCCAGAAGAAGCAGAAAATGGGGAGAATGCTGGAAACGAAGAGCCTAAGCTGCAATTCAGCTATGTGGAGTGTTTATTGTACAGCTTTCATCAGTTGGGCCGAAAACTCCCCGATTTTTTAACAGCCAAACTGAATGCTGAGAAGCTCAAAGATTTCAAAATCAGGTGATGAAGAGGTTCCCATCTTTGGCAAAGCTGTCTTAAACCTTTGTGGATTTTGTTTCAGCTTTTATTCTACCTGACCTTAGACCCCAAAAGGAGGCAGAAATGCTATCAAATCTTATCAAGGGTTCACCTCCCAGGAGTTTAAGACTAGGGGTCTGGTGGGAAGGAGAGGGTCTGATCCGGTTCTATTGTTGGGAGTTGAACCAAGCCTTCTTGCTGGCCAGCTCATGGAACCGCAAGGTCAGTGGTTCAGAACCCATCAGCAGCTCCTCAGAAGACAGTTGATGTCATGGCTTGAATCAGTCATTTCAACATACCTGGCTGAAACAAGCTACTTAAGACATTTGTAATACACTGTCCATTTTTTGTACCTAGAATCATTTTGTTCTTGTGAGTATATCATTTGAATTTGAAAACAAAATTAAAGAGATTATGTGCTAATTAAGGAAACCATTCTTCATTTAGGCTGCAATACTTTGCCCGGGGCCTGCAGGTTTATATAAGGCAACTTCGTTTAGCACTCCAGGGGAAAACAGGAGAGGCCTTAAAGACCGAAGAGGTAAGTAAGAGCACTGGCTCTCCCACATCTCTGATTGCCACGGTTTGTTACAAGTCCTAAAGATGCACAGTAATTCAGATGTGAGTTCACATAGAAATGTGAGATTGGACTGGCCTGGAAGATACGATATGACCGAAATTATCTTTATATAGAGCTATTGGCTAAGTTTTAGAAGAAGTGTTTTTCCTCACAGCTGAAATACCTGGTATTTCCAGTGTCAATGAAGTGTGTTACTGAACTTAAATGATGTATTCCAACCTCTCACTAGTGTCTCAACAGTAAATTTTACTTAAATACTTGATTAATGGCCATAATATTTTAATTTCACCTTTTTGAAACCCAAGCAACAGTTTACAATAGAAAAAATTCCTCTTCCAATTCTGTGTCATGTTATAAGTGGTTTGTCTCTAATTTTCCTTCATTTTCCTTGATCTCAACTATTTAATCACGCTCTGTCCCAGTCTTAATGAACTGTTTAAAGTGTTCATTATGTCATCCTACAGCTTAAACTGGTTTGCTTTAAAACTTTTAAGTGAATGTGGCTTAGCCCTTGTCTACTTTTCAGGTAATAAGTTTACTCTCCCAACATGTCATGTGAACATACAAAGATGATTTGCTTCCTCCTCTGCCATATCTAGACTAGTTCAGAATCCAGAAATAGAGTAAATAGTATCTACAGATTCAAACCAAAGAATTCCTTAACTGTAGACCGATTCTGAAAGCTACATCTGTTGCTGCTGTAGTTCCAAATTAGAATGGAGTGTGCATCATAAAAAGTGATTGGAATTTTAATTGTTTCCCTTTGCAGAACAAGATTAAAGTTGTTGCATTGAAGATCACAAATAATATCAATGTTTTAATCAAGGTAAGTTATCCTGCCTTCCCAGTTAACTAGCAACAGGTTGTTCGTGTGTTTGCAGGTCTGTCTGTAAGAGAGCTGTTTAAGGAGCTCTGGTGATACAGTGGCTGAGGCTTCCCCGCTTACCAAAATGTTTGAGGTTGAACTCCTGAGCTGCTTCTCAGAAGACAGATGTGGCCATCTTCTGTAAAGATGACAGCTTAGGAAACCCAATGGGGCAGCTGTGCTCTGTCCTACGGGGTCACAGCAATCAAAATGGACAGGATGGCACCAGGCTAATGGGATTGTTCAAGGGGAGATGCTATGCATTCTTGATGTTTGGTCTGTGAGAAAACTGTACACTTGTGCAACCCCCAGTGAGATTTCTAAAGCTCTTACAGAGTTTTACATCATATGACCTACTTAAAGTATATTAAAGAAGGTACTACAGAAACAAAGGGAAGCATGCAAAGTTCTTCAGCCCCACAAATTTCAGTTTGTGTCCTTAAGGTCTCTTCCACATTCCTTAAGTTCTGATGATCTCCGTGCCATTATTTGGTCATTTAGAATGATGAGTAAAGACCTGCTTCACTCACACTGTGAGCTTTATTCTACTGTAACGTCAGTGCTCTCTGTTTTGGCCACTAAGTCATAATTACCCTTTGGTTCTATTTACATTATGAAGTACCTGAGAGAATGAGAAATCGCAAAGTAGTCATTTTTTTAGACGTTAACAGTATGTTAGTCAGAAAGTGTTGGGAAGAGCAAAGAATAAGGAGAGCGAAATCAGTTATTGGGGGCCTTGCCACAGTCATGAATTGTGTGTTAAGTGGGATGTGACTTGATCAGTTCTTTGCTTTCATGGAGGTCAGAGAAAACCTGGTGTGCTTTATTTAGTCCATTCTAGTCATTGGTCATAATTCATAGTTTCTATCTCAGCAGGCTCTTCCAATTCTACAACCTAATCTTCACATCTACTGTAGTGAATCCCACTGTGACTTGAGATTTGGTGTGTTTCAGGCTGAAGCTTCTTCTGTGTTCCCGGTCTGAATAATAGAACTTTTTTTTTTTCAATTGTTTTATTAGGGGCTCATACAACTCTTATCACAATCCATACGTACATCAATTGTGTCAAGCACATTTGTACATCCATTGCCCAATAATAGAACTTTCATATGCTGTCACTCCATCTGGGAAGCTCACAGTACCGTGCATACTCGAGTGTAAGCCGACCCGAATATCAGCTGAGGCACCTAATATTTACCACAAAAACTGCATTAAAAATGTGCTGGAAAACTCGGCTTATACTTGAGTATGTACAGTATTAAAGTACTTGACAGGGACTTAATCCTCTCCATTTATTTGATGTACTAACCTTAGGTTTTGTTTGAAGGAAGTGATTCCTATCTACATATATCTTAACCCTATAACGGCTGAATTTTTTATTTCAGGGAAAAAATGTCTTTGTTTTTATTCTTTCATAGTTATCAATATATATTAATATATACATTTAATTAAATGTTACAAAAACGCCATGCTCAGCATTATAGGGTTAACTGCCAGGGGCAAAAAAACCTGGTCCCTTTTATCAGATTTCACTTTAGTATAAAAATTAAGGGTAAGTGTTTAAAAGACTGGGAGTAAATATGTTTAAGAATCCATCATTTTGAGGATATGTTATTTCAAATCTCGGTTATTGTAACATTTTTGTAAACATTTTTAATTTTGCCACATATTAATCGTGATATTTAAATCTTGTGGACTTATCTTTATTGAGAGGAAGGATGAAAAAAAAAATGTAACCAGGTCTCTAAAACTTGAATGTAAATGTAGATGCAGATTGTATCTGATTGCCCATGGTGGCTGCACCTGTGCAAAGCAGAGTACTTGCTGATGCCTTGTTGTGAACATGATACTCTGTCTTGAAACTAAAAGTTTAGAAGCAAACTTGGCTGCCATTTTCTAAATGATGTTACAGGATGCAGTTAATGAAGCAGTAGGTGTAATTTGTAAACAGTGTTTCCTGTGTGTTTTTGTTATTGTCATTTGCACTAGAGCAAGGTTAAGCTAAAGCTCCTCCTAAAATTGATCCCTAAGGTTGTATCCATTGATGGCCCTCACAAGCTCTCCTTCCTGTTACCAGAAACATTTCTCTAAGTCTTTTCATCCATTTTGTGTCCTTAGGATCTCTTCCACATTCCTCCTTCGTATAAGAGCACAGTAACATTGTCCTGGAAACCAGTACAGAAGGTTGAGTTGGGGTAAGAAATCCTTTTTTTTTTTTTTTTTAGTTTTGAGTGTTATTAGAATTTGTGTTTCACATACCTTTACACAATAGTCATTATTGGTTAAACCATATTTAATTAATTTAAATATTGAAAATGTCAACTCTTAATATGAATATAGAATAGTGAAATATGTGACTTGGTGAAACTCTGGTTTTCTGCATATTTCACTTTTGACAGTGACTACAATAACCAAGCCAGTGTTAATTGGACACACCAGAGTGTTGCTCATTTTTCTCTTTTGTGACTGTCATCTATATTGTGTCTGTGATAGCTAATATGCTGAAAATCATAGACATTGATAGCCTCTGATATGACAGAATGCTTTAATATTGTTTTTCTTACCATTGTAGGCAGAGAAGAGCCAATGAAGATACAACATCAGGCTCACCACCCAAGAAATCTGCAGCAGGACCAAAAAGAGATGCCAGACAAATTTATAATCCTCCTAGTGGGAAATACAGCAGCAACTTGGGGAACTTTAATTATGGTGAGCGTTTCCGTTTGGGTAAAAGCATATTTAAAACCTGGCAGAGATAATGGTTGTTATTATACCGTTTCCCCGAAAGTAAGACACCCCCCTCCCCAAAATAAGACCTACTTAGAGTTTTGCCTCTTGCTGAAATATAAGGCATCCTCCGCCCTAAGGCCACCCAAAGCTACGGTAACTCTGGACTCTGGACTGCAGCGGCGGTTGCCACCGCGCAGCTCACTGTTCATGCCAGCGTAGCTGGAGCAGACAGGAAGTATGAGGTCTCTTTTAATCAGAGAGCCGGCAAAAAGAGTTCAACAATAAATGTGTACCGTATTCTTCTTCATGGAAAAGTAGGACATCTCCTGAAAATAAGACCTAGCGCATCTTTGGGAGCAAAAATTAATATAAGACACTAATATTTTTGGTACTTGGTTGTAATTTTAAATTATCTATTGTATCATGGCTCTCAGATGCATTTTCAGGTCTAGTTTTGGGAATTCGGGCTGTTGGGAAAACGACTGACTTCAGTCCCTTCTAGCTCACCCCAGTGGCCTCACAAATTGAGTTGAACATGTAGCACCATGTAGCACTTGGGAAAACATGCCTCTCGAAGTCAGTGACCCCAATACAGAAAAAGAAAGGAAATTGCCAGGAACCATGAAGGTATTGTGGAAATACAAACTAACCCTTCACAATGAAACTCTTCAAAAAAACAAAAACTGGTCACTCAATACCGTAGAAGTGGCTACACCAGCTGATTACTAAAAGGAAATAGCCAATTTTTAAAAAGATGCTAAAAAAAAAAAAAAAAGATGCTCATATCTAATAATACAGTACATTTCATATATTCATTCATTAGATATAGCTAAACAATTGAGATTATTTCAGTTTTAACATTAGAATCTATGACAAAAATGGGCTGCAAAGTTAATGTGGAAGTTATTCAAGATGGAAAAATGGAATTGAAAGAGAATGGAATTTTTCCATGTCCTCTTGTAAGGCCCCCCCCACCCAGATATACCTAACATTATTTATATATATATACATGTACATACACACATAACATGAGCACTCTAACTCATAGCTAATGAAGCAGTAAAGTATCTTGTATGAGACTAGGTTTGAAATATGACTGAAACCAAAGAAATCTGCCTGCTTATTTCAAGTGGAAGGTATATTTTTCTGTCTTAGCCAGTGACTTTTCTGCTAATTCCTTGGTGATTACAACAATATTAGCATTTCACTGTCTTTGGTAATGAGTGGTAGACACCGAAATACAAATTAGTGTCATGGTTATCATGAGTGCACTTGGGTAGCTCTGCTTCAGTGGATGTGATGCTGTTTTTAAGAACAGCATAAGCTGGACAGACTACCAGCTTTGCTCTTAGAGGACGTCCTGTCCTGCTCCACACAGAGATGAGAGCTGTGTTGGCTGTTATCAGCAAGGCCCAAGCAACACCTAAACCCGATTTCGCTTTTTCTCAGAACAGAGAGGAGCCTTCAGGGGAAGTAGAGGTGGCCGAGGCTGGGGAGCTCGAGGAAATCGCAGTCGGGGAAGACTCTTCTGAATAAAACATCACATTCTTCCGCATCATCATGAGCTTACTATTCTTAAATTCTACTACTCGTTGGATTGCCGGGGATGTCTCTTTCAAAGGACTGCTGCTTTCAGCTAAAACTTACTGTTCTTTATACCTTTGTATGTATGATACTTTTGTAACAAACCATGGTTGTGTCCAAGGTAAAACCACAGCGATATTTTTGGATGCTCTGTCAACAATCCTGACTTGTTTTTGCAATATTGCCATTAGCCGAACTTCGTTTTGTGAATCTCTTACTTTAAACTAACTTGTTGAGAACAGTTCAAATCTAACTTGTCATTCTTCGGTGTATTTCTCCAAACTGGCAAAGGGCATTAGCTTTGAAAGGTGACTCATTTCCCTTTTCCCTCTGCCTGTTCTCTCACCCAGTATATGGAGAAGGGCAGTGGTCAATCTGAACATTTTACTTCTGATGGTTTTTTTAATAAGTTGCTAGGCAATAGTGCAGCTTTCCTTCCTAGCATTATAAAAGTCACACCCTTCCGAATTTTCTTAAATTGTAGAAGTGAAACTTTTTAAAGAAGAAGTTCCTTTGCACTGCGTAACCTACTCTTCTTCATATGTTGTGATGTAAACTTTTGAATGTGGAATCTTATTCTGGAGAATAGAAGCAGGTATGTTTAATACACATACAGAAATACATACATAGCATATATATGTAAGGATATATATGCATGCCGTGAAACTTGACTGCACAACAGGAATCATTATTTTTAAATTCCAGGAACGGGTAGTCTTTGACACAGTGATTATCCTTTTGAGGCTGAACCCATTTTTGATTTGTCATCTAGATGTGCTTTTTTCCCCAAGAGCGAGGAATTTGAGTCTGCTGCACCTGCTTCATTTTTGTTACTTCCAAGTAAAAGGCTGTGTTTTCAGAGATCCATGAGGAGATAGATCCCTAGTGTTGAACAGTAGCCAGAATAGGAAACTGATGTCCGGACAGGTTCCTGCAGGAGGAGGCTAGGTCATCAGAATCTGGGGAACTGACAACCAGGGCTGCCCAGGAAACAGGACTTGATAACATGGAGTAGTGATGAGAACGAGATACTCTCTCATGTTTTTGCCACTTTCAAGATTTTAACTTCTCAGGTTATTAATCAAAATTAATCGAGTACGTTAGCCAATAGCTCTTAGGTTAAAACAATGGACAGGGGGTTTGTGGAGTGTTTACTGTCATGGGCAACTGTAGTAGCATAGGCTCTTGGTCTGCATTTGAATGTTTCATATATTTTTTGTTCCACAGTTAATCTTCCTTCCTCAAGTTTGCTATTCAAATCAAATCTTTAATGACATTTACCTAGAAGTTTGAGGTATTTTTGGGAGAAAAGTGCGCATTTCCAATGCAGGTGTCTTCCCTGTTGCTTATTAATGTTCTCTGAGTTGCTTCTACTTGGGGGAAACCCTTTTGCTAGAATTACTGCATAATATTTATAGGAAAAAGATTTCTTTCAGGCTAGAATGATACAAGTGAGTAAAGGAAGTTGGTCAGCTTAACTCTGGAGTGGTGGCAATAATCTCTGAACATTCCAAAAGATGCTGAGCTGAACCTAAGCTTTCTTAAAATCTGAACAGACATAGGAACCTGGCAATTGTCCTTTGAACTGTGACCAGCTAGTGGGCATCAAAGGTATATCAGTCAGTGGCCTAAAGCCATTCAAGTATAGAAACAGCTATAAACATCTGAACAATTAAGGGTAACTATTTTGTCTTTTTTTTTTTTTTGTAAACTCAAAGCTGAGCAGAAAAGACTTCACTTTCTAAAGGTGAATATTGAGTTTGTTTCTTCCCTCACTGTTCCCCTTCCATGAAGCAATAGTGTACAACTTAGGTTATGTTTGGCTTGAAAAAATTTGAATGAAAAAGTTCATGCTATTGATTTTCTTTTGCAAGATGCCTGTTTATCACCTGTTCCGATATAAATGTTTCCCTATGCTTTTGAAATAAATTTCCTTTTGTAATTTTGTTTTATGTGTTGATGGATTATGATTACCATTGCTTTGCTTTCTTGGATAATCATTAAACTGGTACTGACTTCTCAAAAGAGTGTGGTGGTACAGTGGGTTACAAGTTGGGCTGCTAACTGCAAGGTCAGCAGTTCTAGACCACCAGTCTTGCCAAGGGAGAAAGATGAGGCTTATTCCCATGAAGTTAGAAAGCCTTGGGAACTATATGTGGGATTTATAGGGTTACTATGAGTTGGAATTGACTCAGTGGCAGTGAGTTTGGTTTGGGGTTTGGCATTGTTTCTTAGGTGCCATGCAGCGTATCAGAGCATGAAAATCCAACTATGGACAGCACAGCTCTCTAGTTCAGTCTGGAGACAGTCTCTCATGTTCATTCTTTTATAGTTCTGCTTTGGGTTTATTCTTAGAAGCTAATACACTTCTGAAGACAAGGATTTGTCTGTTAAAATAAAACATCAAATAAATGGTCATTATGAATAAATCATTCCCATCCTCAAATGAACAAATTGGAACTTCCAGAACTCCCATCCTAAAATGAACAAATTGGAAAGGATGGTTGAGAGTTTGAAATTCAAGGTTTGAGTGAACCAGGACAAGAAAACATTCCATTGATGACCACGTGCAGTTCAGTGACTTAAATGCCACCGTATGCTGATGACTCCCATATTGATGTTGACCATGATTTGCCTGGATTGCAAATACAGCTTAATTGGGCTGCTTGCCATTATACCTTACAGTCTGTCCTAAACACAGCAGATATATATAAAACATTCATATAAAGTAAGACAGATCAGCGTCATAGGAACCCCTTCCACGCTGTTCCATGGCTGTTTCAGAATAAAGCCAAAAGTCCTTGCCAAGACTTTCATTTGAACTTTTGTGAACTGGGTCAAGGTTTACAGAGTAGATTGACATCACTTTTGCATTAGAATGTCACCAGTGGCCCCATTTCCATCATTCTTTGCCCATCTCCCCCTTGGATGATGTCTTCCTCTTCACCCACATTTATACCTCTAGCCTGTGACCCCACTCCACCCCCAGTAACCATCAAAGACTGCTTCCTCTGTGTGATTACCTTTTCCAGACTCTTCATAATAGTAGTTTCTTAAACTGTTTGCCCTTTCTGTGCTTGGCTAATCTCACTAAGAATGTTGTCTTCTGGGTTCATCCATTTGGAGTCTTCGACACTGCACAGTACTCCACTGTGTGTATGTGCAAGTTTATCCATTCTTCCATTCATGACCTGTAGTTGGTGTCACCTTTTTGCTATGGTGAGTAGTGCTGCAGCTACATATGCATCGATTCATGCTGCGATCTTAATTCTTTAGGATGTATACCAAATAGAGGAATTGCTTGGTCATAGGTATTTCTAAATTGAGGAAGCACTGTGGAAGCTTTACATAGTGGCTACACTGTTTGACAGTCCTGTGAGCCACGAATGAGATGGGATTCTCAGCACCCTCTCCATTTGTTTGCTGGGGGTTTTTTGGGGGGAGGAGGGTAGGGGGTGTTGAACTGTGCTATCAAAGCTAAGGTGAAGTTGTTTCTCGCTATTGTTTGGTATCTCTTGAATCTTACCATGGCTTTTAATCTGATCTCAGCTGCTAAGCCTCTTCAGTCACTCTGTCCCTGCCAGTTGGCTTCCTGCACATGAGATCAAGACATACTACTGCTTAAGAGTCTTAACATTAGTTTTCTCTGCCAACTTTTTCTTCCATTTCCTTCTAAGATGAAGGATGTCAAGAATCCCGTTGAATACTGCAGTGCCATTTTCTTTCCCACCCAAGACTCCAAATCCCACTGATCCTGCTGTATTTTTTTCTCATAGATTTACCAACTTCTAACATACCATGTAAGTATTATGTATCATTTCCTGTCCCCTCCAGGTGCAGAGTGGAGGGATGTGAAATAATGCACAGTAAGGATTTCTGTTTTGTTCACTGATAATTATAAGCATCTAGATCAGTGCTTGGTGTGCACAGTATGCTTTCACAAGTATTCCGTGAATCACTGGAAGGCAGCCTGTTACCCCGGAAGATAACTATGGCAAACCAGGCAGACAAACGTCCTTGGAGGTTACCACCTAACAAGTTGATTGCAGAGAGTGATGAAGCTTCCTAATGTGATTGTGTGAAAGTAACCACAGCCTTTCAGAAATTAACTCAAACGTGACTGGCCTGGTGTGGAAGAGTATTTAAGATAAGAGTCAGCTAAACAAGTGGGGCACACTAGTCATTTAAGAATGTACAGGGTTGTACTAGGGAGTTTATATTTAAAGCTCTTAGATTTCCACCGTCCACCTCAAAACTTAGACATTCTCCATCTACTATAAGAGTGAAATACTTTCAAGTGGCCGTGAAGGTTCCATACTCTTTCTGGGATGGGGATGTTTCCCCTCTGGAACATTAGTGCTCTTGTCACTCCCTCATGCATCTGCTTAACTGACTCATCCTTCAGGTCAGACTACATGGTCCCTCTGGAGGCCTTTCCTTTCAGGTCACTGGCTGAACCCAACGGTTGTGCTCCCTCAGCACACTCTCCCTCCCCCCGTACAGACTAGAGAAAGAATTCAAACTGATCTAAACGGGGAGAAAATGGAGATTTCATTCCAGCAAGTGTGATGGAAGATAAACAATCATGTGAAATCTAACATGTCAATAAAGACCCTAGTAATTGTAGGTTGTCTCCAATGAACACAAGCACAAACCAGAAAAGCCAGAGAAATGAGTCAGCATAAAGATCTGATACTAGAAATGATCTGAGGCGAAGCCTAGATAGAATGCTACAATTTGTATTCCTCCCCACAGGAAAACAGGAACAGAGAACAAACGAGGGGATGCTATTCCTCTGGGGAAAAGCTAAAAATGGCTAGCATTCCATAGTGATAGACAAAATGAAAGCCCACCTATTCATTTTTTAAAATATGAGTAGAATGAACATCAGTTGTGAAAATCAGGATATTAAAACTTGGGGAGTATATAGATGAGTAAATCAGAGCTAGGGATGCAGTTTTTTAACCAAAACCAGAAATAGAGTAGTCAAAATACAGTTCGTCCATAGAGACTGTCACCTAATGTATTAACTATAAGGGATTTTCACAAATCATTGGCTGGTATAAGTCTATCGGGAAAATCATTTTGAAGATGATTACATGCTGTCACCTGTGGAGCTGCCATGGTGTCACTGAGTTAGACACTTGGTCCTGAATAGCTCTCAAAGTTCAGAGGGCCGCGTCTGACATGATTTTCCGAGTGAAGTTAGTGTTGAGCATTCTCTCTCCTCTCTGCAAATGGTCTGCACTTTACAAGTAATAGGCATGAGGGAGATGCACCTGCACAGCTCTGCCTGCCATAAACAGCTTCCTTACCCCCTACGCCTAACCCCTTCCCCACTCAAAAGTGCTCTTAAGAAATTAATTTACGGAGCCAGGAGAAAGGTGTGCAGGCTTTCTGTTCCCAGTGTTACAGTCTCAGAAACCCACCAGGGCAGGTCTACCCTGTCCTATAGGGTCTCAATGAGTCTGAATGGACTCAAGGACAGTTTGGATTTTCGGGGTTTTTTATTCGGCTGGTTGGTTTAGCAGACTACTACTAATCCCTTTCAGTTCAGTTTAAAAATGCTGTTTCTCCTATCAGTATTCTCCTGCCCTGAAGTCTGGGCTACCCTGGAATTCAGACTTTAATTCTGCCACGTGGCTGTATAATCTTGTCTAAGTTACTTAACCGAAGCCTGGTAAGACTGATGGGAATGGTACATGTGCAGGGCTCACTATGTATTGCATGAAATAGACAAGCTTATGTCTCCTCATTTTTCAAAAAATCATTTTATTGGGGGTTCTCACAGCTCTTATCAGAATCTATACATCCATCGTGTCAAGCACATTTGTACATTTGTTGTCATCATTTTAAAAACATTTTCTTTCTATTTGAGCCCTTGATATCAGCTCATTCACCCCCCTACCCCCAGTACCCTTGATAATTTTATTGAAAAAAATGTTTGTTCATGTTTTACACCAACTGATGTCTCCCTTCATCCACTTTTCTGTTCATCCCCCTGGGAGGGGGTTACATGTTGATCATTGTGATTAGCTCCCCCTTTCTCCCCCCACCTTCCTCCAACCCTGGTATCACTACTCTCATTTTTGGTCCTGAGGGGGTTATCTGTCCTGGATTCCCTGTATTTTCAGCTCATATCTGTACCCGTGTCTAGACATGCCCTGGTCTAGCCAGATTTGTAAGGTAGAATTGGGATCATGACAGTGAGGAGGGGGTGGGGGATAGGAGCATTAAAGAACTAGAGGAAAGTTGTATGTTTCATTCGTGCTATACTGCACCCTGACTGGCTGGTCTCCTCCTCGTGACCCTTCTGTAAGAGGATGTCCAATTGCCTACAGATGGGCTTTGGGTCTTCACTCTGCCTTCTCCCTGACTTTTTGTTCTGCGTCTTTGATGCCTGATAACTGATCCCATCAACATCTGATCACACAGGCTGGTGTGCTTCCATGTTGCTTCTGAGATGGGCTGCTTGTTTATCTTCAAGCCTTTAAGACCCAAGATGCTTTATCTTTTGATGGCCCGGCTCTATCAGCTTTCACCACATTTGCTAATGCACCCGCTTTGTCTTCAGCAGTCTAGTCGGGAAAGTGAGCATCACAGAATGCCTGGTTAGTAGAGCAAAGTGTTTGCATTGAGGGAGTACTTGAGTAGAGGCCCAATGTCCATCTGCTACCTTAATACTTAATGTCTAAATATATGTACATAGATTTCCATATCCTTATAAATGTTTACATATGTACTTGCCTGTATTTAGACCTCTATAAATATCCTTTGCTTCCTAGTCCTTTCCTCTATTTCCTTTTACTTTCCTCTTGTCCCACTATCATGTCCGACCTTCATTAATTCCTCTTGGCTACATTGTACTTGATCAAGCCCCACTTTGTTTTTGTGTTTATTATTATTTTTGCATGTCAGTCTAGATAAGATAGGCAGGATAAACTATATGGAGAGGAAAACAACAGGACCAAGGACTCAGGAGGGAGACACATGAGAGGGGGACATAGGGCAAAAGAGGGGAGCCAACCAGCCCAAGGACAAGGGAACAACAAGTTATATAATATCAATGGTGAGGAGGGTAGGATGTCTCCCCATTTTTTAAATTGACCTAAGGCTAAGTGAAACTCACACAAAAAAACCTCACTCCTGCACTAGCCCAAGGTAATGAGTTTTATCATCACAATGGAAGGCAGGCTTGTAATTGCCCTTAGGCTAATTCTTGTTTAAACTACCCCTCTTCAAAACACAAAGATGCAAGTCTTTTTTCTCTTCACCAGGGAGGCTGGGATCTTAAAACAAGGCACTTAAGATTTTACCTAAAGTGAAGGTGCAGTGTGAGGGTCCCATGAGGAACAAAGAAATATGGTGCAGTCTAGGGAGTTAGAAATCTCTTACTACGGTCTTGCACATTGAAGCATCCCAAGGAAGGATTTCAACTTCTGACTGGGTTATGAACCAAATCCATTCACCTGACTCCAAACAGCATCTTAGAGGAAGAAGTGCCTGGTTTGGCTATTATTATTTCTGGGGTGTCCTCATGAGAGATTGAAATTTGTGAGCATCATTAGAGCTGATCCAGATAAGACAAAAATAGAGCATCTCATTTGCCGGCAGTGTTCTAAGGACCAAAGAAAATGACCAGTGTTCAGGAATCACTGACATTCAGCTATGTGGCGGTAAAGTTCACCTGGGAAGAACGGCAGCTCCTGAACCGTGCTCAGATGCTGTATATGGATGCGATGTTGGAGAACTATTGCAACCTGGTTTCCATTGAGATCTACAAAGTTGATGATCATTTGGTTGAGCACTCGCAACATGAAAGAAGTGTGGACAGAACTGAACAATGCTATAAATTTAATACATTGGAAAACATTCTTCACAGGGATCTACATATAACCTCCTCTATGGGGGATGGGCAACAGAAAAGTGGGTGAGGGGAGATGCCGGGTAGTGTAAGATAAGATAAAGTAATAATTTGTAAATTATTAAGGGTTCATAAGGAAGAGGGGAGCGGGGAGGAAAGGGGAGGTGAAAAAGGAAAATGAGCTGATTCCAGGAACCCAAGTGGAAAGCAAATTTTGAGAATGATGAGGGCAACGAATGTATAAGTGTGCTTTACACAATTGATGTATGTATGGATTGTGATGAGTTGTATGAGCCCCAATAAAATGATTTTTTTAAAAGAACAAAAAAAATAAAAGCTTTTACCTAAATATATTATTTTTTCTTCTGTCAATACTGCTTAGTGGTGTATGAATTTTTGACCTTTTTTTGTTTTGTTTTGTCTTTATTTCTTCTGCTTGCTCCCTAAATGACAGAAAAGGTGTGGCCAAAGACAACCCCTGCTGCATGCTGTCTAGTGGACCGGTCCGTTTAAAGGTTCCCTCTGCATTCTGGCTAGCCTGAAAATAAAGACTTCGCATAATTAAATTGGACATTGTAATGGCCTTCATTTACTCGAACCCACAACACTAAGTGCCTAACAAATGTTTGATGATTCCATTGCCGCCACTAAGGAACTTCAGAAGCAGGCAAGGGAGTGCATTTCTGCCCATGAGATGCAGAGCATAAAGGGACTCTCACTTCTCTAAGGAGCCCTGGTGGCATAGTGGTTACGAGTTGGGCCGTTAACTGCTAACTCAGTGGTTCGAAACCACCAGAGGCTGGTTTCGAAACCACCACAAGGCTTTCTACTCCTGTGAACAGTGAGTCTCAGAAACGCACAGGGGAGGTTCTACCCTGTCCTATCTGCTCTCTAGAAGTTGGTTCTGACTCCATGGCAGTGAGTTTGAATCACTTCTCTGTTGTCTGAAACACTTCCTGTTGTCTACGTTTACATTCCTTAATGTAACATACAGGAATCCTTTATAGCCACCCACCAAATTCACCCCACTCTTAACTGCTTATTCTGCCTCAACTGCCAAGGTTTTTTGTACCTGGCTGGTTGCTCTCTTTTCTATAAACCAAACCAACCCACTGCCATCGAGTTGACGGACCCATAGGGGCCCTCTATGTAGGGTTTATGAGACTGTAAAGCCCCTTGAGAGTGTATAGCTGCTGCTTTCTGAGGAGCAGCTAGTGGGTTTGAAAGGCCAACCTGGAAGTTATCAGCCTACTGCCTATCCCACCTGGACTGCTTTTCACTGCAACTTACTCGGCTCCAACACGCAGGGAGCCTGTGGGACGGAGTAGAAATGCCTGCGTGGCTTTATGAGACTACCGTACTGTTGAAGGAAGTAGAGGCACCATCTTTCGCCAGTGGAGCAGCTGGCAGTTTCGAATTGCTGACCTTGCTATTAGTAGCTGAATGCGTAACCCAGTACATCACCGGGTTCCTTGCCCACATGGTCCGTCCTGTGTGTGGTTCACCTGCCAGTGTCCTACTAGATCACACGGTGCTCCACTCTCAGGGTTATAGGAAGTGTTGTCCACCCAATGCCCAGTCTTATAGCACAGGGTAGGGCTGCACCTATGGGTTTCCAAGCCTGTCACTCTTTATGGAAACAGCCTCCTCTTCCCCTTCAGAGCAGCCTCTTAAAGAAGCTGTATCAATGTGGTTACAGCACAGTGAGTGCAGCCATCTTGAATTCCCAGTAGCCACCACCAGAAATTAAAGAGATATATTATAAATCATCCCCCTGCAGCATAAGGTAATTCTATTGGTAGTGACATTAATTTAGCCAATGGTATAGAATTTAAAACACCTGAGAAAAGGAAATTATACAAGTATAGGCAAGCTTCAGGCCACAAACTTGAAATATTGGCTTATACAGATAAAGGTCTTAAGTGACTAAACAGATGGTAGCTATAAAATGAACCAGAGACATATACAAACCATTGACATATGGGTGTATTTGGGGCTTGAACTCAATTCTAGCCCGTTTAAGTACAACTGGTTTTTTATGGCATGGCCCTGCTCAATGTTCGCTCCCATGAAAAGATCACTCAAGATATGGGTGCTATAGCAAAGTGTGAAGAAACTAGATGGTTCCCGGCTATATGGGGTCTTAAAAGTTTGTTTTAAAACAAGAAGCTACCTAAGTGAAGCATCAACTAAATCCACATGGGTTTCTGAAACTGTAACTCTTCAAGGGAGCTGAAAGTCACAGCTTTCTCCAGGATTAGCTGCTGACTGGCCTTGGGGTTAGGAGCCAGCACATAACCCACCAGGGTAGCTCTGATCGGAGTTGAAACAGGCTGGGCAGCAAAGGGTTTGGTTTGAGTAACCTCCAGGTGACAGGATGCTAATCTCCAAACCTCTAGCCTGGGGAGTGCTGTCCAGGACACTAGCCCGATGCCCAATCCGAATTCTGATGCTCAATTCAGCCTAAAATATCTTGAGTGTGAAGACTTTATACCCCTAAAGTATTCGGTAAAACTGCTCATTAACATAGAGTCCCCACTAAACTCGTAATACTTCGGCCTTGGAGCTTTTTTGTTGTGTTGTTTGGTTTTACTTTTTTAAGACCACATCTGTAATCTTTTAAGACGGCGTACCACTTCTATTGGCCAGCGTGGCCCTGGTTTTACAGCCTGCCTCATCCTGGCGCGTCCACCAACATAAATCTTTAGCATGAAAGGTACCCGATCTCTGTCTTGCCCCCCATGGTTCGAGAGCACCCCTTTTCCTTCCCAGCGCCACTAGGCGCAGGTGTCAACTCGATGGCGGGGAGTTTGGTTTCGGACACTTGCACCACCACGAGTAAACAAGCAAGCGTATTCATTTGTAACAAGACAGGGTTTATTTGAAGACATGGAGGACATTACTTCTCTACCTCTGGTTCCCGCGCCCCGAGACCGCATCTCCGGCAGCACTGGAAAGGCAGCAACGCGGAGAGAAGGCCCGCGGGCCGAGCAGGGGGGAAAGGCGG